TATTAATAGATGTTTAATTAATCTTAATAATAGATTCAACTAATAATTTATAATCGTTTTCATGAGATTATGATTAATTAATATAATTATCTAATTCCTATATAAAATTATAAGAATAATTAACTTACTCTTTAATAATAAAACTATCCATCCAATAATCTAATTCTTTAATAATTGAATCAATAGTTTAATTAAATGTTTATTTCCATAGATCGATACAATTTTATATTTTAGTGAGTTGTTCCTTTTTCTAAGATATAAATGAGATTTTCTTTTGTAGATTCTCTTAAATATTGTTTTCAATTTTGGATTGAATATTATTTAAACCAACCATTTTCATATCTGGTCTAATATTTAACATGCATTCACTGCATAATAGTCTATCCTTCATCTAAACATCTTTTCCTATATCTATTGCACAAATCCCAAGCTCATGATTACCACAACATTTTAAATTCTCTTTTTCTATCATTTTTATTTATATCATTAATTAATTATATTAATTCACATAAAAAAGCAATCAATATTTAAAAATCTAATTTAATCAAAAACAGCGGTTTGAAAAGAAAAACAATTCCTAGAAATTCTTAATTAAAAATTGTTGCTGTATGATTCAATTCCCCAAATATTATATTTTACTTTATTTCATTTGTTTAGCTATATTTATAATATTTATTATTTTTAAAATTGGATGCCATGAAAAATAATGATCAGAGATCTTATTGATGTTGACCAGAATTCGTCTGATTGTACAAGATGAATCACTTTCATCTAATTTTATTTTTTCAATATAAAAATAAAAAAATAAATAATTATTAAAATAAGTAAAAAAACTCTTTCAAGTATACAACTTATATCCTTAATAGCATAATTAATATTAGATTATACACCATACCAAACTGATTCTGTTTTTTTTAAAGAAGAATAATGATTAGATTCTTTAAATAGATGAATTAGATAATTGAATTAATCTGCTGATTTTATCAAATTTGTTTATATAAAAATTAGTTTGCCAATTTTTTTATTGCAAAATCCTCTATAACACTCTCATATGACTTTTCTAACATTCTGTTTTGATCAATTATTAAAAATTTTCATATAAGATGTGGTTGATACTCAAGAACTCTATGATATGCTGTCGTTAATCTCTTTTTTTGTATTTTTTTTAGTTTTTTAGGAACACAATATAACCTATAATTGCTTCTTCTCTTTCACTATTGTTGATGGTTATATAATCCCAGCTTAGATAATCTTTCTTTATTTTGCTATTCTTAAATTGATGATAGATTATTGCTTGATATTATTATACAATCTTCATTTTTATTAATTAAATTATTATTTATTTTATAGTTAGTTCAGCTTTAAAGTCATCCGCTTGTAGAGTTTAACATTCCATTTTTTATAAAGTTTCTCTATAAGTAAGATGAACTTATCTGTCATTATATCAAAATTTATTTGATAATTCGTAAATAAGTATCAGCTCACATAAAAAATACTAGATCCTCCATTATTTCTCTGGCATGATATTAAATTTATTATCAATTTCACTTTCACCTTAAATAACTTGTTATTCAATTTTTCAAGTTTTAATTGCTTTGTTGTAAGGATATACTAATTTCAATTAATGTGTAGATCAGCAATAATATCCTTTTGTTTTGCTTAAATATTCTCTAGTTTAAAAGAATTCTAAATTACTATATTTAAATATCTTCTTCTCACATTATATAATTATAAATAAAACTTATCATGGTTTCTTCTAATAAGAAATCAGAATTTCTTTTTTAAATTAATCCAGTCTTAATATATGATGATTATTTCACAAAAGAGTTCTAAAAAATAATGTTAATTATTCATGAAATTATTTAAATTTGATATCCTTATGTTTATAATTTAGAGATTACCTAAAATAGATAATCATCTTTCTAATTCGTTTGGCTAATCAAAAATTTTCTTTTATTTTATCTTAAATTCCACTTTCAACATTATATGTTCTTTCATGACATCATTAGTAATTTCATTACTTCTCCAAATATAAGATGGTGCAATTGATTTAATACTTAAATTTATAGAAGCTCTATTTGCTGAATAAAATCTTCATCTAAACATTCTTTTGTGAATGATAATTAGTTAGATATTATAATTTTCTCTTGTTGATTATGTGGATCTTATAGAATATTAAATCTCAAGAAGTGATGAGACTCTAAATAAATGTTTTTGTTATTTCTAAGACTTATTTTAAATCCTTAGGTTTTCTACATTTATTTCATCATCCCTTAACTAGTATATTCAGGCTACTATTTCCAATCATCCTTTTTCCTTTCTATATAAATACTCGTTCATAGGAAATATATTTCCTATCTTTCATTGATTTATTATTTATTTTATAATTCAAATAAGAAAATCTTGGGTTAATATTTCTCCTAACTAATCAACAGAAGCTTTTATTACTTTAACTAAATGGTCCACATTCAATTTATTTAGGAATTTAAAGTTTTTTTTTCATTTTCTTCTAAATCAGCAACTGCTCTATAGAAATTATTTATGATTAGTTGCTTTCTCAATTATTATTAATTATATTTGTAATAATCTTCTAATTTCTAGAATTAGGTAATTTTATTCACAGAGATTCTCTAATTCTTGCAAATTTTTGTATAAGTTATTGAATCCTTAATTTATTGTTTTCAATTTTTGATCTTGTTATCTTTTTCTTAGATATTTGAATCTAATTATCAATCAATTATCTTAATGATGAATTTTAAGTTACTCTAATTACTTATTCATCAATAAATATTCTTCATTCCAAGTTTATTTCCAGATAGTTAAATCAGATAAGGTAATAAAAACATGAAACTAGTAATTTATCATCTAGATAATTAATCAATAAATCTACCTTAGAATTTTTATTCTATTCATCTAATAATTTGTTCTTAAAGTTAATTAATTTATAATTGTAACTGTTTGTTCAATTTATTTATTGTTTTATTCTGAATTTCTTTCTTTGCATTAATATTAAAATCAATTTTCTTCTCTTTCAATATCTATATTTCTGTTTTTTCAAAATTTTTAATCTGGCTATTAATTCATCTTAAATTTTTTTTTTAAGCACTTTTTTTTTTTTTTTTATAATACTTACTGTATTAAAATTAAGAGTTGAATCGCAATATTTTTATAAAGGAGAAGTTAAATATACTGATTAAGTTTTGTTTTCTAGCTTTAATGTTATGCTAAAGACGCAGAGTAAATATAATAATAAGTTAGTTATAATGGATATGTTCTTTTTGGTAATTTGTAAAAACAATTTTCAATATAATGAGCTAACGATAAAGTTGATAGTGGGTGGATGATAAGCAGGAGATTATACCATTTAACACTTAAATTTATTTATTGTATGATTATATAGAACAAGAATAAATTTAGTTTTTTTGGAGAAAAAAAAAATAGCTATCAAATTCTCAAATCTATAGTAG